AGAGTCCCCATCTATGGCAATTTTACCTTCCCCTACTTCAGCCTGCCCCACTTTCCAGGACAGATCCACAGACAGACAGACAGACAAACAGACAGACAGAGAGGGATGCACCTTTTTTTTAGCGTGGCTTTTTGCTTTTAAAGGTTGCTGCTGACAAATCTATCTATTTGGGGCAAATTGTCAGTGAGAAACTTCCGCTCGAACTCTTTGGGACAAAACTGGCTCTTTGAAAGGGTAAATCCCGTTGCATGAAGGTCTGAACAATGGCCAAATGTGTTGCTGCTGCTGCCGCCACTGCTGCTGCTGCTGCTGAGGCTAGGGCTGTGACAAAGAGCGGATTAATTGGTGCCGCGGCTGACTGGTTCGAGATGGCTCCACTCAGCCCGCGCTGCGGGGAGCCCCATTGACTGGGCCCCGAGTCCCACTTTTCACAAACTCCAAACAAAAGTCAATTTCTTTTTTATAAGGCTGGGGAAGAAAAAAAAAAATCAGTTCATGTTTGAGCTCGGGAAGTTGACTTGTTGGATTATCGGGTGTTATGTTCTCCCTGTCTCTCTCCCTAGCTTTAAAAGTTGCTTCTCCCCAGAAGACAAGAGTGAGAAAAAAATGGAAGTAAAAGCAAATCATCCATGCTGGGGGCTGTGTGTGTGAGTGTATATGTACCAGGGAGTAAACTCCAGCAAACAATCTCAGTTCTAGTAGAGTGAGGATGTAAGTGTTGGGGATTTGTGCTTATGCTCTTGTGTAACAATGATAAAATTCTCCATACGGTATAAGACCATTCTTGTCATTTTGTGCAATGTTTTTGATCCTTGGCTGAAAGGCACCATACGAGTACAAGGTTGCATAAGGGGGATCATACATATGAATACATTCACGCAGGACATCATGGCCTACTCCTGTTTTACCCTTGTTTATAGTCATTGTGTAGACTCTCTCTTATGAGAATCGGCTGTGGACGTTTATTATTTTATATCTGACTTGTGCAGCCTCTCCTGCATTTCTTGCATTCCTCCAAGCAGAATAAGGCCCATAAATATTCAGGCAAGCTTGCAATTTATATAGGAACAATCAGACAGAGAGTGAGAACGAGGAAATTTCCTTTTTAAACATCCAGCTGTATACGGATGCTAATAGTCATTTCTGCAGTCCTACTATACTTGAGGTAATATTGGAATATTTTTGGGGTAGTTAATCATATCAATGGCTATGATGATCTCATGGTATTGGTATAACATTTCATCATGTTTAGTCCTTCTTTCAAAAGGCTTGTTCCTTTTAACATCACATGTAAAGAAAAGAGTTGTTCTCATGTGGCTGCTAGCTTTCCCTTCCATAGGGCAGTGTGATAGAACCAGAAATAAGACCTTTTCTTGTCTTTATTCAGTGTAGCTGTTTGATTTTGCTCTCATTGGTTTTCCGCCTATTTGGGTGAATTGCTTTGATAATGCTTATTACACCATACAATTAGAATTATTCCACTTAAGAAAATTTCATATTTAAGATATTATTTTCAATCTAAATATTAACTTTTAGGAGAAATAACTTGTACTGATACCTTTAGCTTTGTAACCGGTTCTGTATTATTTTCTATGGCTTTGTGATAGATTCTATAGTAGGCAAACCAAGCTTGAAATTGAGGCTTAAGAGCATGAAGTGAAGTGGTGTCGATTTCCCAGTCTGATTTTAAATGGTTTTCATGTATTATGTCTCTGCGGCTACGTCTACATGAGTTGCTTACTGCACAGTAACTTGTTACTTACTGCACAGTAGCTTGCATCCTGTATGTTCTAGGCCTGAGGTTATGATTTGCTCTCCACACAATTGATTATTGATTTTTAATGCTTTCAGTGGAACTTATACATTCTACTAGATTTAAATGGTAGCAACATCCATTTACATTGCTCGTGTAGCTTTGGAAGGAGTTTTCCATTTGAAAAGAGCCTTCTAGTGAGAGAAGGTAACTAGCTTCGTCACTGAATTGCAGAGTTGAAAAAAAAAAACTCCCTCTTGAATCCTTGGTTGCATACCAGGGGTTGCAGAAGGGTCTGCTTCTACTTTATATGAACTATCCTGAAAATATATCTACCCTGACTTTGAACACATTGTATAAAAATGATTCCATTACTCCCATTGCCTGATCCTCTTATTTTTATTTCCCCCTTGTATATCTAGCCTGAACTATTCTATTCTTAGTTTTCATTCTGAATAAGCACAATCCTTACAATAGGTGAGTCTAAGGAAAGGTTATATTTTGTTTACAATTATGCCCTGTTTTCATCCTCCTCAGGAATCCCTATGTGGAGAGCATGACGATTTAAAAGGCAAAATCTTCCACAAATCGAAGAGGGATTCAAGGTGTGAGCTATGGCTTGATGGCAGACTGAGGTCCTTATGCAAACGGGAGATCATTAGCCTGAATCTTCCTCATGACTATGCTTTGCTCTCAGAATCTTCATGGTTCTTTCCATGATAAAAGAACACGATGACCATCTATCCTGTTATGATCATGGTTCTGTCTATTCAGCTAAAACAAAAAAATGGAAATTTGTGGGAGAGTAACCAAGCTGTATGAGGCTTCAAAGATGGGAATATGAGTTGTATCAAAGGTGGTGGAAAAAAAAAAAAAGGAGGAAGAAGAGGCAGTTGGACTTGACTGAAAGGAGGTCATTAGTGATTTTAGTGAGAGCAATTCCTTCAGAGTGAAGTAGCTAAAAAAAACAGATTGAAGAGTGCCAGAGAGAAAGAGAATAGGTGAGTTCAAGAGTATGGGAGCAAAGTACTCACTTGAAAAGATGAGAGGTGAAGAAGAGGAAAAATGTAATATAGGTAGAGAGAAGGGGAAAAACTGGGAGAGGCATGCATTTTTAGTGGGGATACAGGGGCTTATTTGAAAACAAGGCAAGACATCATTTAGGGATCAAGGAAAAAGAGAGAGATAAAAAGTAGCAAGTAAATGAAAAAACTGGGTGTGGGTGAAGTCTAAAGGGGCAGGTTGTGGGACTAGATGAAGAAAAGGGGAAAGGTCTCGGATCCAGAAAAGATGGAAAGGACAAAAGGATGAAAGCAAGGGTAAGGACCTTTTTGCCCAGGGCCATTCAGCATACCATAAGCAAGAGATGAGGGAGCAGAGAAGAGTAGGAGCACTGAGGGAATTAAAAGACAACGGGTGACAGATGCTGGGGAGAGGAGACTTGTAGGTACATGCTGCGAAATCAGTGGATTGGCAGGAGGGCAGAGAGACTTAAAGGCTGGAAGTACCAAAAGGAACAGGCAAAGATGGAAGTGTGGAAATGGTGGTGAGAGGGACTAAAAGAAATGCTGTTTCTTTCTCCTAGTCTCCCTCTCACCAGCATCTCTACACTTTGTCCTGTCAGTGAATGGTCCTGGCAGTAGAGGTTATCAGGAGACTTTTGGGGGGGCTCTACTGCTGAATGAGGAGGAGAGGTGACAGGTCTTGCATTTGAATAGGTCATTGTTTCCCAGACTTTTGATACCTAGGGTCCCCATTTTTTCTGGATTAAAATTGGTGGCACACTTCATTCTTACAACCAAAAAGTGTGTGTGTGTGTGTGTGTGTGTGTGTGTGTGTG